AAGAAACAGTGCAGACCTCTAACAGCCTTGGAAGCTGTGCCTTATCACTCTGTTCCCACGGCGTTTTCACACCTGTGGATTGGCCTGTTTGAACTGTCCGGATGGACAGTTTGAGTGGGGTTACTATGGGCAGTTTTAATTACTTGATTTGCACAGGAAACCCTCAGATCCTGCCTTCCATTCATGCTGCCAACATCTCCCAATAAAAGTTCCTTTTGAAATGATACCGTTTCAAGAGTTCTGCTTTCTTGGGAGAACTGATTGAGACGGGTCCTTACACAAGGACACACACTTATGATATCTAGTGAGTGTCTGACTACGAAGACCAGTATCGGTTGGAACCATATATAAAAGAACAACTCAGAGACAGAAGTGATTATCCATGATACCTACTAAGCTGTAAATTTGTGACTCCACAAATATGAATCTACATTTGATTAACTAGATAGTAAGGCTTTCAATGGTCTAATTGAGGGAAAAATCTATTGCTCATATTAAAAGTGTGTTCTGATTTATTGCAAACCAATAACTTGCTGGTGGATGCCAATCGGTTTTCTGCTTACTCTTTTTCCATCCTCATGAAAAGAGGAAGTCCCTTCCCCTCTCACACAAACATATTTATGTCTTCATTATTGTATAACTATTACCAAATTTAGTCACATGTAACAATCAATATTCATTGATCTATTTGGATCTACCTTAATTAACTACAATGGATTCAGTCTACAATACTTGAAAGAAATGGCCATAACACAGCTTTGTAATATAAGTTTCCCACTAGAATTTCCCTTTCTTCAAGAAGAAAAAAGATGAAATTAGGACTCTGTGATCCAACATACTGCTCTTGGTACAGCAAAGCTCTTTTAATTTAAATTCTCATCTCCCATCCTATCAGAATATACCACTATTACATATACAAACCCCAAGAAACCCAACCGGGTAAGCTTGTGAACTTAAGATAAATCTCATCCTGCAGCTAAGCTCTGGCAAGGCTCAGGTACACCCAGCTTTTAAGACATCACATAATTCTACAAATTGTAAAATGATTGCCAATGCTCAATTGCCATTATCCAGAGTCATTACAATGGCTCCTGAAGTTGTAGCTGTTGGTCACGAGCAATTAGTTTTTCACAGCAGTGATAGCACCTGTGTTTGCATCCCAGGTAGGTATCTAGTTTTCCATTTTCGTAAAAGGAAATGTGTCAACTTGCTTTAATTATACAAATTCCCTTCCTTATTGCTTGGAAATGGCCATGGCATCTTCTTTCTATAGATGTAGGGCTGGGTGTTTTTGCCAATATTTACATGACAAATGCACATTTGTTGACTTCAGATTAAAGTCTGTGTAAATAATATGCATTGGTAACAGTCAATGATGTATCTGGAGAGCAATGATCTTCTAATGTGTCACTTGATGGGGCTGTGGGGCTTGCATGTTCCAAGGAGGATGAGAGTTATGCCAGAGATTCAAGCATCCTGGGCAAACAAACCAATTAATTTACAGCATGGCTGCAGTTATAACTGAAAATGTTGGATGCAAAATCAACAAACAAGAAAAAAAGCCAAACAGTACACCACCAAAATAGAAGATCAGGTTATAAAATAAGAACAGCATGTTAAGATCAGATGCAAGCAAGCTGGAACAGATGAAAGACAAGAAGCTAAAGAACAAGAAGACCAAAGAACACCTGATCAAGAAATATCAACAAATAACACTCACAGCCAAGAAAATCAGCAGATACAAAGCTCAAATTGCACACTACAGGCAGAATCTTCAATTTCAGTCAAATCAGAAATGTTTCCACCAATCCATCAATGGAGAAACTGCAGTGAACCAGCCACACCCGGCAAAGAAGAAACAGTGCAGTACTGGGCGTAGTTATGGGACAACCCAAAGAAATAAAAGAATGCAGCTTGGCTAAAGGAGGTGGATAAGAATAAAACAGGACTTGTAATAACAGCAGAAATGATGGAGAAAAGGGCAAAGAAAATCAGGAATTGGTCAGCAGCACCAAATGAAGATGAACTGCATGGTTTGGGGTTGAAATATCTGACTGGTCTACATCTACTCACTGCCAAGCAGTTTAACAACATACTGCAAAGAGGTGAAATTGAAGAGTGGTTAACATATGGCAAAATCTACCTGATAATGAAAGATCCAGCAAAAGGGGCCGTACCGGGTTATCTACAGGCTAATTACCTTCTTACCAATGACTTGCTCACTGGTGTGATAGCTGATGCAGTCCAATAGCATCTAGCTGAAAACAAGCTCTTTCCATCTGAGCAAACCACTCAAACAGAAGAGGAACGAAGATTAACTCCTAATTGACTATAAGAGAAGGAAGACCAAGTTGAACGTAGCTTGGACTTATTATAATAAGCCATTTGACTCTCTGCTACATTATTGGATAATCAAATGTCTAAAAATAACAGGAATCAGTAGAGGCTTTAAGCAAAGATCATGGCACAATGGAAGACACAGTTACTGGTCAATGTTGAAATACTAGAGAGGTTAATGCCAAGAATGGGATTTTTCAAGGAGACTGACTGTCACTAATAGAGTTTGTTGCTACATTAACTCTTCTGTTAACAATACAGAACAAGTCAGGCCATGGCTAACAAATATCAAAGAAATCTGCCAACCTATCCCACGTCCTTTGCATGGACATTAGGAAGCGTATGGAAAAACACCATTGAAATAGAATTGCTGCTCAACACTGTCCCAATATACAGTCAAGATATTGCAGTGGAGTTTGGACTAGACAAATGTGCCACCCTCACTATCAAATGAGGAAGAATAGTGAAATGTGAATGGAAATAACATCAAGAGTCTACATGAAGAAGTTCACTATAAATTCCTGGGCATCCTTCGAGCTGGCAGCAAGAACAGTGAAGTCAGGAAGAAAGTTAGAAGTGAATCTATCATGGCAGTGAAGAAGATCTTAAAATCCAGACCCAGTAATGGAAATATCAACAAGGCAATTAACAGCTTCACAAGTCATTAGATACAGAGCTGAAACAGTGGACTAGGCTCAAGCAGAATTAAAAGCTCTGGGTAGGATGATCAGAAAAATAATAACAACGAAGCAATGCTTCTTTCATGAAGCAACAGACTTTACTTACCAAGGAAAACAGGTGGACGCGGAATGTTGCAAGTACACCAGATAGTTGAAAAAGAAAAAAAGGGCACTGGAAGAATATCTGAAGAACAATGAAGAAGATGCAATGAGGTTAGTACACCATAAAGCTTACTGAATACCAGTGATAGCAAACTGGCCTACAAAAAAGACCAAATGAAACGTAGAACAGAGACGTGGCAAGGCAAAGTATTACACAGCCAGTACATTTAAAAATATAGCAGGTCAAGCAGGTTAACAACAAGACCTGGCAATGGCTAAGAGCAGGAAAGTTGCAGAAAAAGACCGGGGAGCTAATTCTGCCTTCATAAGGCCAAGCTTGAAGAACAAATGTATATAAATCCAGAATTGACAAGACAGCAACAGACAGCAAATGCGGTCCCGGCAAAGGAGCTGAAGAAACAGTGGACCACCTAATTAGCTGATGCAAGAACACTGCACAGACTGGCAATGAAGTAGATGTTCCAATGGTGTATTGGAAGATCTGAAAAAAAATACCATTTGCAAGTAAAAACTGGTGGGACCACAACACATACAAAGTAATAGAAAAATGAAGAAGCTATGGTGGTCTGGGACTTTAGAATTCAAACAGATAGGCACCTGCTAGATAACCCCCCAAACATATCAAATGTTGGTAAGAAAAACAAAAAAGTCTGGATACTTGATGTTGCAGTACTGGAGACAGCAGAATAGAAGAAGAACTGGAGAAAATCACAACATACAAAGATCTGCAAGTAGAAATAGAACAACCACAGCAAAAGAAAGCAAAGACAGTACCAACAGTAATAGGTGCCCTGGGTGCAATTCTAAAATATCTGGAGCTCCACTTGAACACCATCAGCATGGACAAAATTACTACCATCAATTGCAAAAGGCAACTTTACTTGTGGAACAACTTCATCCTGTGGATGATACCTTTAACACTGTCAAACAACAATACCAGCCTATCCCAGATCCTTTGAAAGACTGAACAAGTGGATCAAAATGCCAAATCCAGACTATCCATCTGGCTGACTGGCTAGCCAACCATAATAATCTTATGAAAACAATATACTTTAATGTTAGGGTCTCTTTATTTTATGTTTATATTTGATTTCCTCTCTATTATCTGATGCTAATCAAAATATATAAGCAGCCATATAGATAAATGGGGCACATTCTACGGCCAGCGACAGAATGTACTATAATTAAATGGAGCACCGAAACACAAGCAACTGCCTGAATCTACTAAATTTCACAGTGGTTTTATTTTCTCTTCTACTGACTGGGAGTAACCAAAAGATTAAAAAAAAAATACACCAGTTAGTAAGTGAAACATATTTCATTCCGAATGTTTTAACATTTCTTTTTACAACATTCATTTTTAAGTATTAATAATTAAAAGTTAGCCATACCCCTTTTCCTCCCAAGTATAAATCTGTAGAATATAACAAAAAAAAAACTTTTATTGTGTCTGACACTTACTTGAGAAGGTATATTACAGATTTATTTATAGTCACTGGAATTAAGCTAGTAGACTATCTTGGAATAATGATTACTTTTAAAAAAATGTATGTGGAAATGAAACACATGTGCATGATACTGCTTTGCAAGAAATAATTATTTAAGCAAGGCTCATCAGAGAAATATTATTTGATCCTTTCTCTTCACTGAATATTTCCAGGCCACAATATTTGAATATAAATAGTAGCAAAATGAGAAAAAAAATGTTTGAAATGAATCATACTTTTTTTCAACTCAAAAAGTTTTGAAAACTCAAAAAATATGTTTAGATGTCGCTCTGGAATGGGGTTCTTAGAATATGTCTAAGATACTTGTTGTAACAAGGTAACCCACGTAAACTCAGGACAAAGAAATCTTATAACCTTTGCAAAGATTGATATTTAATTTGCTTTGAGATAAACAACGTAAATTCATCGTGATGGTGTTAACACCAAAGCAAATGCCATTGTACAAATCGCATTGTGTCCTGTTGTCAGATCTTTAACAGTGGAATCTGCCAAACCATTATTGAAGACACCAGTTCGTCTGGCCGCTGCTGCTTGCATTTCTTATTCACCCTTCTGTGTCCTTGTCCTCCAGAGATGACCATGATGGATATCACTTTCCCCTCCCTGGATCTATGTCTTTTACTCTGGTCGGGGGAGACTTCTTTCAAAAGCTCATAGACAGCACTCTCTTCCGGCCGAGGTTCGGTTGTGTTGGATCCGTGAGACAACGTGAGTGACCCAGATGAGGAAGACAAGTCACTTTTCTGAGCAATGGATCCGACTGAGCCCCCCAACCAAATGGCATTGTCACTGGGGTTGCTCAGAGAAGAAATAGGCCTCTCAGGTCCAACACCCTTTTGGTCATCCTCTTTCAGGCCTGAATGAGGACAATTCAGCCTGGACTTGGACTTGTTTTTGTTCTGCTTGCTTGTCACAGAGGCCGTCACAAGGAACTTGATAGGGCCATTATGGGCATGATAAGATACCATGCCTCTTCCTGCAGTCAAATGAAAAAGGACACTCTCAGACACAACCATTTTCATGCAGCTTAATTCTTTTCACCAGCCGCTGGATCTACAAAGCACTGAATAAAAAGTGGCTAACTTGTAATATGCCTTTCGTATGTTGCTAGGTCAACATTCACTTCAGACTTCAGTTTTGAAACAGTATTTTCCACGGGGAAAAATTCTCAACAAGCAGAAAAACTGGCTCATGATAATAGCTGAAGCTCTAGCCTTCTACGTGCATTTCTATCTGCAAAGCAAGCAGTATTAGAGCTGCAGAACAACCTTGCAATTGGAAAACAGTACCTAATTCTACAAGGATTTATTTCTATGGCCTCTCCCTATTACATAAATAGACCAATGACTCTTACATCACATTCTGACCCTTTCTTCCTGATTCTTGCTCAGGATTTATGCATGCGAACAGATTGAACACGTAGGTGTTCAATAGGAAATGAACACTGTGCCTTAATTCAGTGTTGTGAGTTAACAAGAAGATGCCCATCACCTACCCCACACTTATCCTACTCCACCAGGAAGAAGAAAATGAGAACTGTCATTTAACAAGTTCCTGTTTTTTTCCCCTCTCAATACCTAAATAAGGAACTGTGCTATAAAATAAACACCAATCAGTCATAAATAAGTCAAGTTCAAGTCTTCAATTGTTTTTGTGGTTTGCTTAGCAATATATTATTTGAAATTTATTCCTCCTACTATAGAAGGACAGAGCCAGGGGTGCTTAAGTCTGGTGTTTTGCAAGAGTGTCTTCAGACAGAGGTAAGTCAGAACCTACTTCGGATTATGTACTGGCTCATCAGCTTAAAGTGTTGCTGTATCTACTACAAGGAAATCCAAGAGAAGACGTTCTTGATACTGAAACATTTATTTTGGGATGGTGCTCACTTGTTTTACACATTTTAAGGGTGTTATAATATAAATCACATTTTGGTATGCTGAACTGAATTATTAATTTTTATCATTATATTTAATTGAGCATGTTTTTAATTGGTTAAGATTCTTAAAATTGTAATCAAATTCTTTTTTCCCACTTTAAAAACAACGAAAATGCAGAATATAAAGCTTATGAACATGGTTTATAATATTTAATTATAAAATCCACAGCTTAGTATTATGTGTCATATAATCCAATGGAAATGTTTTCCAATACAAACTCTGGAAGTTACCATCTGTTTTTCAATGAGGCAAAAGGTGAAATTGGCATTCAGTTCATGCTTTGTTCTCTTGTTTTTATAGCAGCAGGAGCCAGGGAATCAGCTGACTGGTTTTATCTTAATTTTGCTTTTTCCACCATCCATTGCCGAAGACCTTGTTTTCAATAAAACTTATTCTACACTTACAACACGTAATCATGTTAATGCTAGCAACAGTGAAAGAGAGTAGATCTCACTTTTTACTAACCATGTCAGATTAAAAGCATGGAAAATTTGGGATCCCAACTGTTGGAACATTTCCATCATGATTCATAGTATTAATTGCTATGATATCTGAAATGTGTTCTATAACAGAGGTCCCCAACCTTTTGGGCACCAGGGACCGGTTCCGTGGAGAGAGTTTTTTCAGCGGACTGGAGGGTGCGTGGTTTTGTGTGTTGCCTGCATCCCATGGATGGGGCTTTGCTTGTTTGTGCAGACTGGTTGCTGGCATGCCACAGCCCCGTGCCGGTCCATGGACCGGGGGTTGGGGACCCCTGTTCTATAAGACATTTGGCAAACAATATCTTTATCTGTTCACCTATGGATTGTTGAAAACAACTGCAGTATAATGATATATTTACCAAACACAAACTCTTTTGGGGGAAGCAAGGTAAAACCATAGCAATGCATTTGTTTTATAAGCCGTATGCAAATTTTTAAAGAATCCTCAGGAGAGTGAGTATTCCTGGTTACCGAATGCCCTCTATGTATCATGACTAATAGATTGACAATGTGTTTTAATTTTATCCCAGGCGTTTAAACACTCCTTGGCTTTTTTTTTATAAAAGAACATTAAATTAGTTGTGCATACATACATCTCCCATACTATAGAGAAATTTCCCTTAGGTGAAATAGCTTTGGGTGGGCAGAAGAATGCCAATACAGAACTGCCCATCAATAGACCATGTTTGCTACATAGCTGTGGTGAACTTTAAGTGGCTTGGTCTTTTAACAAGAGAATAAAAAAAGAAAGGTAAGAGCTAAAGCTTGCAAATGTCCTTTAAGTTTAAAAAAAAAAAAAGGGGGGGGGGAGAAACAAGATGCTAAGATTACAGCACAGTTTCTTTTGCCAACATTTTTGATATGAGCCTTCCTTTACCTCAGGGGTCCCCAACCCCCGGTCCGTGGACCAGTACCAGTCTGTAGCATGCCAGCAACCGGTCCGCACAAATAAGCAAAGGCCCATCCGCGGGATGCAGGCAGCACACAAAACCATGCACTCTCCGGTCCGTGGAAAAACCTTTCTCCACAGAACCGGTCCTGGTGCCCAAAAGGCTGGGGACCTCTGCTTTATCTGAAAGCGGCACCTTTGATGAATCACTACAATTTTTTATACTGATAAGAGTTTTCTTTTTACTTACAGTGTGAATATTATACTCACCGGTTACTTTGGGGATTCCCTGCAAGCGAGGAACTGGGAGTGCTACTATAATCCCAACATTCGTTCCAACCAGTAGTAGACCATGGCATACTAAGAGGCTGGTCACTGAAACACGTTGCTGTCCTGCAAGATGCAGAGAATATTACATTACTCCCAAACCAGGTTTTTTTGCTGTTTACGGTTGCACTGTACAGGCATTATTTAATGAAATCATGTTCTCCTACATATTTAAAAATGTTGCTGTGACTTTGTTTTCTAAGCATACAATAAATCATATAAGACAAGGGTCACCTAGCCAAGCAATAACCTATCCATTTATTTCAGTTTCTATCTGCAGTTCTCCTGTGTTTTTGAAACACCCATGAATTCACTGCTGTCAAACACTGTTACCACTGCCAGGAAAGATCCACCATCGATGCCACCTCAAAAGGTGCACTGCTGAGTACCTAAAAGCCTCAATGCCACCAGCTTCTGTGATGACACCACTTCTCTAGCCACCAAACAGCTGATTAGAACACCAGCTATTCCTTTGCAGTCTGCAGTTATTTTCAATTTATCTTGCAATCCTTTTTCCCTTTACAAATTGTGCAGGCCTGCTGTTGAGGGTCAACCCCCCGCTTTCTATTGTGGACTTTTTAAAAAAAAATATTTAGTATCAATGCAAAATAGTGAAGAGTACATTGGCACAGCGTAATGAATCGTGTACACTAATGTTCAGTATATATTAGCCAACATATGATGCTAGGTCCATATTATAGCATCATTCCACCACATTTTTAAAATTATCTCAAGCTGACATGTAGGTAAGTGCCTTCAATTTAACTTACTGATGAAATTATTAATTTAGGGAACTATACACTAATGTTCAGTATATATTAGCCAACATATGATGCTAGGTCCATATTATAGCATCATTCCACCACATTTTTAAAATTATCTCAAGCTGACATGTAGGTAAGTGCCTTCAATTTAACTTACTGATGAAATTATTAATTTAGGGAACTATACACAAATATCTAGCAGGCCGTGACCAGGGGGGCGTTTTATCAGGTTCGCCTGATTCACCAGTTGCGGCCTTTTCTGGACCGGGACGCCTTGCGCACAGTCACTCATGCTCTGGTCACCTCCCGCCTGGACTACTGTAATGCTCTCTACATGGGGCTTCCCTTGAGGAGCACCCGGAGGCTCCAGCTAGTCCAAAATGCGGCCGCGCGGGCGGTGNCTAGGGTAATTTTTAAGAGGGGTTTTTAGAGGAGTTTTTAATTATATTTTAAATTAGACAAGTTAAATATTTCATTTTAATTAATTTTAAATTTTGTGTTGTTATTGGTGTTTTTAATTGATTGTCAGCCGCCCTGAGTCCGCAAGGAGAAGGGCGGGATATAAATTCGAACAATAAAATAAATAAATAAATAATAAATGTATAATCCATTTATAAATTGTTAAGTAGCAATCCTGTATTCATTTATATGGTGGTACTGCATTCCACCATAATCATTTCTGAACTGATACATAAGATGAGATTTATATCTAAAGGTTATGTCTAGAGGTAATCCAGAAATTTAGCAGATTAATGGAGCAACAGATATCCATTAAAACAGAATGTCCATTAAATCCAAATGGGGTTTTGTGCATGGGTATTTTATATATTTACCTATATTCAAAATGGCATTTTATTCATGTACAAAAATAATACAGGGTACCCCAAATTTTGTCCAGTGTATCCAAAATGTCTACTTCAACTTATACCTGAATTTCAGAATCCTGATAATCTAATATTATTTTAAACATATGTTAACTCTGTTAACTGAAAGACCACTGAGTTATCTTTTAAAAAATTCACAAAAAGGCAGTTTTAATACAATGGCTATCCCAGTTCCAAGGAGGAATGAATAAAAATCTCACATTGTACAACAAAACCGTATGGATCAAAAGACTTGTGCTTTTAAACAAATCAAATTATTTTTAAACTCTCTTCAAAGATTCTTAAAAAGCACTGGAGCCACATTAAATAAAGGATTTTTTTCTAGTTTCTCCTTTACTTACAAATTGAACCTCTTTGGGGTAATTTTGTGGAGTTAAAGGGTTTGGTTTTACTCTTAAAAATTTGGGCAGCAATCTGGAAATTCTGGAAACTGTTGACCTGACATATTTAGGTGGCTCAGGGCTGGAGAAAACTAATTCATCACATGAAGTATGAACTAGACATATCATTCTGTGCTTAAAGGAAATCACTGATGGCCCTAAGGACTGATGCTAACATTAACTATCAAATATTCATAAAAAGGAAAGTCGCTTGTTTGGGAAGTGGAATTCCAGAGTGTTCCATCAGAACTGGGCAGAGGGGTAGCCTTGAATGAAACATGAATGATGCCAGAAGATAAATAAATAGCACCAAATGATCATGGCTCCAGTATATATATATCAAAAATCCTGCTCTATTTTTATTCATGGAAAAAATCCCTTATGCAGAAAACAACTGAGTAGATCTATTGTTTTATTAGCAAGAAAATATAAACTAAAGAGGCATATAAATATAAATTCAAGACCGTCAAAACTGTACTTTGAAATCAGTGTGTTTCCAACTTATGTATAAACCGGGCAGTGGTGGGATTCAGCCATTTCGCACCAGTTTGGCAGAACCGGTAGCTAATTTTTTGTTGCCCAGGCCCAGAATGGACTTCCGGAACTGGCATCCACACAGAGAACCGGTTGTTCACATATTTGAATCCCACCACTGAAACCAGGTATATTCAACTTCCAGACAACCAGTGATATTAAGAAAAGAACAATAATCAAACATGGCCTACAAAAATGTCTTCATAATGGTCATATGGTGTGAATCACTATACTGTGATTCTTAATTTCAGTGTTTAGATGATTTAATCATTTTTATTTAATTTAAACAAAATATGTATAAAAAATAAACAAGCAAGAAAAATGGAAGAAAGAATCAGACAAGAAGCAAGCTTAGACAATTTAAATAAAAAAGGTCAATGGATCTCTTGGTAAATCTGCACATCTGAGAGATTTTAGACATCAGTTCAATGTAAAATATAAAAGTGTTTACTATTTGTTCTTGTTTTGCACATTTGCAGAACAATGAGACCAAGGAGAGGGATTTTAATCTTCTCTTCCCACAGAGGATATGCACGCATATTGTGTTCATTTTAAATGCATTGCCTATTATAAAAAATACTTCACAGAGCATTTTCACTCCAAAATGATTGAAAATACCTGAATATCCTGTTGTGTAATTCTGATCTGCAGTATTTTGGTGACATTAACATCAAGGGGATGGAGGGAGGAAAACTCAAGGCCTGTCCTGACCCCAGGATCTACAAAAATGTCTAACTGGTGGCTCATGCTAGTTAAATAACATTGTTTCCACATGTAAAAACTGCTAACAATTATCCTGCATGCTCACATTTTGAAGGCAGAAGACCAACTTTGGAACAAACAATTCAAAGTGCAATCAAACGGAAATCCCCTGCTTTTAAAGTGATGGAACAGTTGGGAAGCACCTGTTTGAGAACATGAACTTCTGAAACACATAATTAATATAAGATGGCAAATGCATTAGGTTTATTTGTGTGCACTCTTCCAGATTAAGTACAGAAGGGTGGAATGGCTACAGCTTTGTGCTTTTCCAATTGTTTTAATTCTCAGGAGTGGCTGCAAATCAGTTCAGTTTATCAATCCTTCCAGTGAATATTTTTGGGATACATTCATCCTACTTTGATCTCAAATAGATACAATTTGGAGTAAAACATTTCAGGGAATACATTGGGTTAAATTTAAATAGTATAACAACCTTTTTAGTATGCATATACCTCCTGTAATGCAAAGTATTTTCATGGGGCAAATAGTGTACAATATTAAAATATTTTTAATATCATGTAAAATTCAACAGAAAGTAAAATAGAAGCAGATTGTAAACTATAATCATTGGCCATAAATAGTGAGATAGTCATGACCATTGATTATAGTTTAAAATCTGTACCATAATGAGATGGTTTTGACCCCATAAGTCTGCTAATATAAAGATGGTTTTAGTCCAAAAATCCAATTGAATTTTTCACATCTCTGAAAAAAAAATAATTATGATACTGAACAACTATTTAAAATGAATTCCAAGCTGACCTTGGCTACCACATTTTCAATAACATAATTCAAGTACTTTTGTATACTACAAATACACTATGTTCTCAATCATTATAACATAAAACAGAAACAAGATGTATGTAAGATGTTCCAATGAAACTGGCAGAGCTGAAATTTGAGCAGAGACTTTCCGAATTCATAGGTCCCTATGCTATATTTATTATAAATATGCCAGTGTAGTTGGAATGAGGAAGATAGTTGTTATTTCAAGGAGTTTAGTGACAAATTTAGTGATAGGAAGCATTATGTTTTTCTATTTGCCATCAAGCAATACGTGTCATACTACTAGATTAAAAAATCACACAGGTGAGCATGATATCAGTGGAACAAATTAAAAACATCTTTAGATTCAGCAGAATTCTTCAGGGCAAATCTTGTTTCTCATAAATTTCACATATAAAAAAGAAAAAAAATGGAATTTAGAATAAAATTCAAGATAGTTTAATTCAAGTTATAACATTTGTATGTAACCTGGACATTATTTTTGTCCTCAATCCTATATCTGAGGAGGGTACATCAAACTAATAAGCTTGTCGTGGCCAGAGTATACATCATAGCATACTGCTATGGAAACCTTCAAAGGGGTGTTTCACTTTGATGAAGGCTCAAGTACTGCAGACTCTTGAAGCTGCTCCTTCACATAACATGACCTCTTTGAGCCTGGTGGCTCAGTAGTTAGAAGACAGTATTGCAGGCTAACTCTGGCCACCGCCAGGAGTTCGATCTTGACTGGCTCAAGGTTGACTCGGCCTTCCATCCTTCCTAAGTCGGTAAAATGAGGACCCAGATTGTTGGGGGCCAAAATGCTGATATTTGTAAACTGCTTAGAGAGAGCTGTAAAGCACTATGAAGCAATATGTAAGTCTAAATGCTGTTGCTATTGAGTCTAAGAGCAAAGCAAAGTGTGTGTTGTATCTTTAACAAATGTTGCAGGAAATACTACGGTGCATCCTGGAACACCCTCAGTATATGCCTAAAGTCTTCCATGCCAGTTAGTTTCAATGCATTCTGCACCTCAGAACATGTATCGGTGGGTACCAACATGTTTGGCCAGCCCTAGACTAGAGAACAAAGGCTGAGAGGAGTCTTGTCTTGCAGCACTGGCCTGAAGCAGTGCAAAGGTGCTGTGAATTGCTTTGTCCCAGGGAATTACAATGTTTCTTTGTCTGAAGAAGAGAATCCTCCACAATAGGTATCTTTTTATTGAAACGAATCTAGGTTTACTGCAGAGTCACCTCTTTCTCATAGGACTGGCCTTAGGATGTTTACAAAACTGAAGAGCTCCCATTGTTCTAGTTATTTATTGGGCTTTAAGTTTTTTTCTCAGCAGCTATAAATATAAATATAGCTGAACAAGCTGGACCACTTGCTAGAATGTTTCCAGGTTATACCTGAAGTGGCTTAAAATAGCCAGTCTTCTTCTGGATAACAATTTAAGGTGGTGGCTTTGTGCTTTAAAGATTTTCTTGGCAAGGGGCTGGGTTACAGATAGTCCTTGTGTTACAACCAGTCGCTTAGTGACCTTTTAAAGTTATGACAGACCTCCCCCCCCAAAAAAACCCCCTTGCATTCCCATTATGCAATGTCCGCAATTCCACTCCAAATTAAAAAGAAATTTATCTGAAACATACAGATTATCAAGGTAAATCTCTCAAGACAAAAGCATTCTTGCATAAGGATCCACATATCATGAGATTATAGTCATATATTTTGGATTCCTGAAATCATTATTTGTGGAACATGCAGGTGTATGTATATTACACTCTTCTGTGTTGACAAACTCTGAATGACCATCTCAACACAAGACATATAAAATTAAAATATCAAACAAATCATTTTTACCACTGAAAAATTAAAAGTTAAAACATCACAACTGGCTCACACTCCAGATACATAAGCACAGAGAGCACACGGCATTTAAAAGATGCCAACATTGGCACCTGTTGTGAAATTTGTTTGGATGAGAAATCATTTCAGTAAGTTGACATATGATTATTTACAAGATGAGCAAGTTGTGGGTGTGATTTACAAACTGAAATGTATGTTTTAGATGAATGCACAGTATGTTCCCTTCTTTCATGTTTTCCATAAAAAGTAACAGATAGATAGATTGATTTCATCTTAGGAGCAGGAATGATCTGAAAGCGTATTTTATTTAAAGGTGCTCAAATTGCATGTTATCATTTAAGGATGACTTTTCTTAGCACATCTTTAGATGATGATCCTGCTGTGGATCCTGCTGTGCCTGTGTAAATTAATGAATCTGGATTATATTTATGTGTTCCTTGTTTTTAAAATATAAGAGGATAACTAGTAGCAAGGTGGATGGATTCGGTTACAGTGACAATAAATGCACCGTTGGAAGTCCTGAAAGACCAGGTTAGAGGCAGCTTGTCGTGGATAAAATCTCTCTACGTGGCCACTAAGAGTCAGCATTAAAGGCATATAAACAATCGTAACCAATAATCAAAACTGCCTTTAGCAGATCCTACTATAATGTAATTTTTCCTTATGGTATAACTGATATTAGGATGATGAAAACAAAGCTTAATGGTATAGTGTAGTCCTCGCCTTATGAACATTCATTTAGTGACCATTTAGAAATGATGGTGCTGAATGAAGGGTGGTTATGACCGGCCTTTGGAGTTCCGGCTACCCCAGCACACCTGCAGTCACATGATTGCAATCTGGAGGCTTGGCAACTGGCTTGCACTTACAACTGGTTGCAGCACTCTGTGATCACGTGATTGCTGCTTGTGACCTTCCCTTGCTGGCTTTCTCAGAAAGTCAATGAGGTAGTGGGCTTGGAAGGTCATAAGTCAATAGGGAAAGTCTCCCCTACCCATACATCCTCCCTCAGCCTCTCTGGGCTCATGTCATGCTGGCCACTCATGTACCCCTGCACACCCTCCTCAAGCCTTTCCGCACCTCTCTCACACCCTCATACTCTCCTGACCCTCCCTGTGCCTCCCTTGCTGCACTTCCCTTGCAACTCTGCACATCTTTCCAAATCTTGTCATGCCTCCTCTACCCCCTAGTGCACTCTCACACACCCTCAAGCCTTACACCTCCCTTACACCTTTGCCACATCTCTCTCGCACCACTTACACCAGGGGTGTCAAACTCAATTTCATTGAGGGCCGCATCAGCATTGCGGTTGCCCTTGAGGGGCTGGGTGGGGGTGGCCAGGGTGGGTGCAGCCTACTGAGTGGGCGTGAATGGAGTGGGTGTGGCCTACTGGGTGGGCATGGCCAGCTCTACATCGTTCGCATCAAGGGTGCCTGTGGGGGCCTGGGCAGGAGTGGGACAGATCTGAGGGTCTCTGGCAGAAGGGGGTGGGACCGGGGCAAGCACCAAGGCATGGTCCATTTCTTCATTCCTCACAAAGGGTGACACCTCAACAGCATGCACCCAGGGGGCAGGGCCGACGCGGCAGGGGCTGGTTCCTCACTGTTTCCAGACGGCCTTGTGGAGCTAAGAGTGAATGCGTTTCAGCATAGATGGCCACCACAAAATTGTACATTGGCTCCCGGCCGGCCTGGGCCAGGGCAGTGGGGGCCGTACCCTCACTGTTTCCAGGGTGGCTTCGCAGGCCATATGAAACCACTTCGCGGGCCGCATCCGGCCCCTGGGCCTTGTGTTTGACATGTCTATCTTACACTCTCCCTAAGCCTTGCTATGCCTCTCTTGCATCCTTGTGCATCCCCTCACACCCTCCCCAAACTTTGTTGTGCCTCTCAAATGCCCTCACATATCCCCATGCATCCTCCTGCACTATCCCCAACTCTTGCAACATCTCCCTCACACCTGGCAATAGCCAGGTACCTATCGGCCAGCCTGTTTGCAAGCTGCCAGAGACTTCCTGCCCGCTTCCTCACTGACTTGATTGTGGGAAGCTGGAGGGAAGTCGCCTTTTGCCTTATGACTGTAAGGTTTGGTTAACAACGGGCAAGCAGGACTACACGGATTGCCGTTGCCGTATTCACACGTTATAACTACTACATAAAATTCCAGTCCCAATTACCATTGTTAAGTCAAGGATTGCCTGTAGTTGGTGAGAATTACAGAATTAAGAAACTTAATTCTAAAATTAAGATTTAACTAGAGATTATATATCTAGTTCCAGATGTTTTGGAAGTAAAAAAGAACTTAGCATGACTTTTGGAGCCAACTATATAGTGATGAGGAATTCATGCAATCTAAACCTTCATGCCTGCCTGTTCGTATATAAAAAGGGACTACAGAAGGGTGTCTTCAGACATAACATTTAAATGCTGAGCAGTTTTTTTACAATAGCTTTTGTGCCTTCTTCTAATCTAGTGATTTTTAAATAATGGTCCAGAGAATGTATCTACATCTAGCAATGCTTACTTAGCAACAGCTTGCTTTCTGCATGTTCAGTATAGTTACAGAATGTAGACTTGCTTTTTAATTTTGGAAACAGATACTTATGTGTATAAGTGTGCTACATTCTACTCTTTACGAAGGAAACCTCTCCATACCAAAATAGTTTGAACCGGAAGAAATGGGCAAGTGAAATATATAGCAATACAGTCATGAGTGTTAATGCGTTAAAAAGCACACTCCTTTTATTCTATTCCTTACTTTTTGCTTTCCAGAAGTCTATTACCTACGGATCAGTGCATTTGCTGTTTTGTTTTCAACTTTTTCCAGCTTTTACTATGTCACAAGAACATTTAAACAAATCCCCCTTTTTCTTGTTCCACGTCAAATCAATTTAAGTTACAACTTAATCTTTGTTACTTTGAACAAAAAACTCTATTGCAACTGTTACATGAATTGTGGGTGGGAGTACATTTCAGATAAAATAGAAGCAGCTGAAGCATAATTGTAATGGTGTGTGTATGTTTATCTCAAGTTCTTCAGCAGGAAAACATAGTTTACATTTCTCTTCTTGTCTTTCCGTGGCAGTAATAGCTAAGATTAGATATTTTCCAAATAGTCATTTTTTAAAAAAAACATGCAGGAATACCTATTTGTAAACCACACACAGGCACAGTTTACCACCTACAAGCAAAATACTCAATCCTCTAGCACGGTGACAACAGACTGAAAAATACTCTCCTGAGAATACATAAACAAATGGCTGCTTTGTGTGCTTATTGGGTAGCCCCAAAGTTAAGGGCTTTTAAAAATAGCGGAAGAGGAGATAATGTACAGTTAATAAAATTACTATTAGAATTTTAAAGAACTGGCAATAGATAGGTTCTCTAAAAGAGAGCAGATAACTTGCCTTTAGGTCACAAGTGCTCCTCAGCCTGATTGAGGGTGGGATAAACTTTGTAAACATGCAGGTTAACTTTGGAGACTGTCTGGAGAAACCCCTGCAGTTTTCTTGGAAAGATTTTCAAAAATGATCTGCCCTTGCTTTTTTCTTAGGGCTGAGAAAGAATGACTGAGCGGATTAGAACTCAAAGTCTCTCAGTTTCCAGCCTGATGCCTTAACGATTAAGCCAAACTCTTTCCCTCTGATTTTCTATCTTGCTATATTCTTCATCCAGCAGTTTTTCAGAATTATGTTAATGCTTTTTCTTTCAGAAAACAGGTCCTTAAGGTTTCCATTCAGATCAATGTTATGAGTAAAAGACAAGTCACATTTGTGAATGATAGCAAAACTGGATTATTGGGTGACTTCCATAGGTTTTGGGTATTAAGTGCCAATGGTGGGGCAGCAGACTGCACAACCTCAGGTTTAAACCCTTCAGATTTAACATCATGCCCACAAAGCAAGAGTTGTTCAAACAAACAATCTGGTAATGAATAAATAAAGAATGGTACCTGATAACAGATTGTGAGCAAGAGTAGCCACATTAACATCCTGGAGATGTTTAAGGGTTTCAGTGTGGAAAAGACGGAGAGTAGATCCCGATGTGAAGGCGATCCAGATCCCCACTCCTGCAACAGCCATATGAGAGATCACCATCCCTTCCTCTTGATGAGCTTCAAAATGGCACTGGACAATAGACAGAGTCCATTAAAAAAGCATTCAGTAGGAACAGCAATACCAATAACTTATATTTATTTGTTTTCACACAAATAACTGTGGACCTGTTGTGAAGGGCACCATGAATTAAATATTATCTTGCCTTCTAACAAGGCTGAATTGAAAAAAAGAGATGGCCACAAGGACATCCAAATGCTTATCATGCAGTACTTAATACAAAAAGAACAATGATGCAGACATTCAGTTATTCCTCAGAGCCAGAACCATATATAAAACCAGTAGTAGTTCCCTGCTAAAGAAAGGAAATGATAACAATTTTCACTAATGGCCTACAGAACATAGTATTATAATTGAGATCCAAGCTCCACCAATTTAACAGAATAAAACAATTGGAAGGGACCTTGGAGTCTTCTAATCTAATCTCCTGCTCAAGCAGGAGACTCTAGACCATTTCAGACAAATGGTTGTCCAATCTCTTCTTTAAAACCTCCAGTGATAAAGGCCCACAACTTCTGGAGGCAAGCCATTCCACCGATTAATTGTTCTAACTGTAAGGAAATGTCTTCTTAGTTCTTGGTTGCTTCTCTGCTTGATTAGTTTCCATCCATTGCTTCTTGTCCTGCCTTCAAGTGCTTTGGAGCATAGCTTGACTGCCTCTTCTTTGTGGCAACCCCTGATATATTGAAACACTGCTATCGTGTCACCCCTAGTCCTTCTCTTCATTAAACTAGACGTATCCAATTTACCATGTGTATATGTCAACTTGTACCCATGGATCAAAGCAATGAATCTGCCATTTTTAAAATGATGATCCTCCTCCCTCCACTATGGAGACTCATGGCTCTTAATGTCTCTTTCTCATAGTATTCCAAAGAATACCCCGGCCTTCTGGAAAAGGAAGTTAAGAGGGCAGAAATTGGCAAATGTTGCTTTCCCATTATCTTCTCTTGGCATACAATGAACTTTCCTCACTGATTCAACTCAGAATCTCTTTTCTAGAAGTTTTTATACTTAGACATCATGTCAAAGCAAGTGCAGTAGAATTTGGATGTGGTTCCCCATACATCTCATAAACAATAACCAGTGGCCACCACAATGAGCATCAATGGAAGGTATAATTAAAATATTTGGTGGGTAGCACGTGGCTAAAAACATAAGGAAAGAGAGGAGAAGGTAGTTAGTAACTGTATATTATCCATGAAGCAATGTGAGTGCAACATTGCATTAAGCCTAATAGCTTCACCATAAAGTTGGGAGGATAAAATCGATTGGGCAGAATGAAAGTAAGTGGCAAAGAGAGAAATAAAATACAGTAAATTAAGTGGCTGACTTTTTCTCGATAAATTTAGAGTATAGTATTTTCTCAATTACTAACTCACTGTTGTACTTGGAGTGATTTAAGTGCATATGCATTATTAACAATGAATCATGTAATGTTTTCAAGAGTCAGATCATAACAAAAAGTAATGTAATAAATAGCAATTAAACTCTAAAACATGCATCCAAAAATGATACTTGTGGGACATTTTACTTTAACTGAACTGCAATCCAGATTTTCTTGTTCCATTTTACTAGCATGGTATTCAAATTGTAAATTGGCAAGCAGAATATATGTTGGCATCCAGATCTTACAAAAATATTTTAATATTTTTTGAGAGTCTTTACTATGAATGTATGTATTTAAAGTGGTTAAAAGATGTAAAGAATTTCAATTATGAGTTGGGATAGCTATCCAACTCCCAAACCTTTTCTGCCCCAAAGTCCTTCAGAGACAGCTACCTGCCTCCAAAGCATTGCAAAAATTCAAAGCATCTTTAAATATCTCCATTTGCAATGATTGTGGCAATAACTGAGAATAAGTCATTCACAAATACTGTTATTCTAAGGGGCAGAAATCTGGATGTTTCCAACTTTTTATAAAAATAGAATCAATAAAAACCCCAAAACAACACTCATGATTTATCTGTGTAGTTTATGCTTATCTGAAAAGATAGTGAACTTATTATTAAAGGGAATAATCAAATATTCCAAATATGAATATTAAAATACACACCATAAAGCTTCCAGTAATTTTCTGAGAAAAAATAAATAAAAACAAAACAGTTGTGATTCCTCTGCTTCAAATCTATGGAAACAGATGGTACCACCCAAGTAACAGGACAAGTTGGGTGACAGCCAAGAAAAGCTACATTAATCTTGTCAAATCATTCACATTAATTATTAAACCATTTTTAAAAACCTAAATGATAAAAGGTAATTAATTAACCTGTTTCTTTATTGAACTCCCTATTTCAAAACTATTTAAGGTAAGTAAAAATAAGGTGCATAGGGGGGAAACGTTGCTGTTAAGGATACATCATTAAAAGTGAGTTATTTCTGGATGAGTGGTTGCTGTGAGAAATTACCATGTGGTAGTGCGCAACATTATTGTGTTCTTCATGATATATTACAGGTTAAGAGAACATTAATATTAACATTAATATTAATATTAAAACGTTTCAAAGCTTATCGGTCAAGGAGACAAAAGTTTCTTGGGGTCCTCAAAAGATAATGTTTATTCTAAGTTAAAACGCTAATAAAGGATTAAAGCACTGGATTAAAGAACTAACTCAAATCAAGGATTTGAGTATTTGTTTTCTTTTAAGAACAATACAGATTCCTGCCTGCCTTATAAACCAATTTATGAAAGCAATGATTTTTCATCTACCAATACAGTTGGTATTAGCAGCCAGGAAACTCATCTGCTTTGAGAAAGATTCCTGACTCTATCCCTTAGATACTGTAAGTAGTGAAAATTTTAAAGATAATTTAAATATATTTGAGGATCATTTAAATTGTCTGGGGACAAATACCTGCTCATAAAAAAAAGCTCTGTGCCAACCAACATGTTGACTTCAGCTAGAGTGAAACACACACACACAAACACACGCACACATATTTAGCACTTCCACATATGTTATTTGCGGTGAAAATAATGTCACAGTTGCAGTAAGAAGGCAGTGAATAAAACAGGGCATTAGTTATGCAACTACTAACTGACAGGCCATGCCAGCAGCAATAGAAACAGAAGAAAAGGCTGGTTTTAAAAGGGCGTGCTTGTGAGCGAAGAGGAAATTGACCCTTAGGTCACAAAGTTTACCTACAGGTCAGCTTGGTTCATAGACCACCTTCCTTTTGGTCTCACAGCTGTTCAGTCATTTTCCTTTTCCTGTGCTCACAAGCACACCCTTTTAAAACCAGCCCTTTCTTCTGTTTCTATTGCTGCTGGCATGGCCTGTCAGTTAGCAGTTGCACAACTAAATGCCCTGTCTTATTCACTGCCTTCTTATTGCAACTGTGACATTATATTCACCACAAATAACATATGTGAAAGGGCTGAAGTTCTAAAGAGGAAAGCTAATTGAAGTGTCAACAGTAGTTAAAAAATACTGACAGGAAATAGGAGCCTCGTTACAATAAAAAAATGTGGAAAGAAAAATAAAAGGGTTCCTATCTGAATAAATAACACCAATAACAATAACATTTAGTTTAAAATGCTTGCAATTTTCATGTTTGCTTTAAACATCAAGGATTTGTAACTTAAAATTTAAGACAACTATCTTAAACTCTGTATCATAAAGCAAAAACATTTTCAGTCTCATATTAAGACGATTTCACATATTATGGTCCATGTATTCACTTTTGCACTGAAAAACGTCAAGCTGAGCGAGGGCAGATGTGTCCACGCAAATATTCCCTAATCAGTTCATAAAAATGCCCCTGTAAATGTATGCCTGATGATCTGTACAAGGCATAAAACTTTCCCAACTACAGCAATTGTGCAGGCAGAAATTAAGTAGATCCAAGGTTATCTTATAAACAGAGATACAGTAAAGTCATCTGCCTACAGATTCATACAATACACAAACGATATATCTATTAGGAAAAATATTTACAAGAAGGCAGAAAAAAAAATACAGCACAGCAATACCATTCTACCATCAGTGTTCTTATGTGCCCAAGGCTATGCTTTTTGCAAATCAGCATAGCAGAAGTACAGATGGAAAAAATGTTCCTATTTCTCTATTGTCTTGATACAATTAGTTCTTTTCCTAATAATCCAGTTCAAAAACTGGATTATTTTTCTCTCTCTGTTTCTAGGGAGCAACCAACAGTGTAATTTTCTTCTTAACCAGAGGCTCTGAAGTTATCTTTATGATCAGCTCTACAATGTTTATTGATCTTAGAGTAGTATGTTATCCACACAAACGTACTTGTATTTTTATGAAGGAGACTAATATGTTGACATTACTTTTTTTCCATAAGGGAGATTATTAGCCAAACACTTTAAATTTTTGAGATTTCTAAAAGGATATTTTCTCATCTAACATCTGCAAATTGAAGAACTTGTTGAAAGGATCATGAATCAGTTATTCCAATTTTTCCTTGTTGCTGCAATCTCTAGTGTCACTTTTTATGCTCTGCTGAAAGAAGGATAAATTATTTACCCAAGTAGTAAAATCAACATTTTATGTGCTTCATATTTCAGGTAAAAGTTTTTTTAGCCTGGCTCTGAATACATACATACACATTGGAATGAATGACCTCAGGCAATAGCACATACATCCACGCAATGCTCTAGAGCAGTGGTGGCGAACCTATGAAACGGGTGCCAGAGGCGGCACTCAGAGCCCCCTCTCTGTGGGCACGTGCGCCGTCGCCCCAGTCCTAGGCCTTCAGCTGGGTTTTATAAAACCTTTTCGCTTTAGGCCGCCGCCGCCATGTGCAAAAAAAAAAAAAAAGGTTCAATCAATCAATTTCAATTTCTCATGGGAAAAAAAAGATCTTGCAAAGTTGGAATTGATTGATTGAACTTTTTAGTCCCACCCAGTCTGTCGTTACCACCGCAGCCATGCCCACCCAATGGGCCACGCCCAGCCAATGGACCACACCCACCCGGGACTCGACGATGCATAAGTGGGTTTTGGGTTGCGGTTTGGGCACTCGGTCTCTAAAAGGTTCACCATCAC